CGCGCGCCCGCCGCAAGGCGGGGCCGGACGCGCAGCGCGTGCGCGTGCGCGCCGCAAGCCGCGCCTCCCCCGTGCGCGCTCGCAGGGCGGGACGCCGTGCGGGCGCGCGGCGGGAGGGCGGGACGTGCACACGCCGCACGGGCTGCGAAGATGCAAGAAAAATCGTCGATAATATGCGGCCGGGGAGTTCCTGTCCGCGCCGCAGCAGTGCATGTACTGTTTTAAGGGGGGCCGCCCGGCCTGGCGCCGCGCGCGCGCGCGCTCGCGCCCGAGCCGCTTTGGGTTGGCCAGAATGGCGGCAACGGCGGCGGCGGCGGCCGCGGCTGTGGCGGGGCGTTTGGTGCAGTGCTGTTTGCGTCGTGGTGGGCGCGCGCGCGGGTGGGGAGGGAACAGGGCGCGGCACCCTAGTGCTTCTGGCTGCAGTGACTGGGGGTGGGGCGTGGCGACGCGTTTTGGCCGCTGGCGCGCCGGGGCCATTCGCGCACGCGATTGCGGAGGGACCAATCGCGCCCGCGCCCCGGCCCCTTCAATGCAGCCATGCTTCCAGCCTTTTAAGAAACAGGGGTGCCAGGTAATACGGGGCAGGCGTTAGTACGGGCAACGGCGAACACAACCCCGGGTTGAAAGAGCGCTCGAACAAAAGCAGCGCGCATGGGCAGGGGCGTCGATCGCGCCGCCCGCCGTCGCGGCGCGGAGAAGAAAGGGGCCAGCACCTGAGGTTCTGTGGGAGAAAAAAAAACAGTCACAAGCCCCGGGAACGTGCGATGGGTGGTGCCCCGCGCCCGCCCCCAGCAGGGGCGTGCGCTCGGCGCGCGGGCGCAGGTTTTGAAAGGGAAGGAATGCGTCGATCCGGGGGCGATCTATTATCCGCCGCGGGGGCCCACGTGTTGCAGCGGCAAGAGCAGTGCGATTAATATCCGCCGCTTGCCAAGGCGGGCGGCACAGTATTGAACATAGTAATCGGCTGGCGAGCCGATGCAAGTGTTGATATTAATACACACGAACAGGACGTTTCAACAAACGCTCGGTGGTTGGGAGCCATTTGGTTTCCCACTCCCGCGTCTTCCACGTTTCGCCGAGCGCGCCGCCCGGGGCGGCGCGCAGGCGCGGGCCGCCATGGCGATTGGCGCAACTGGGCCGGATGCAGGTGGCCACGGTCAGCGATGCGACAACTCAAAGGTGTGTTTGAAAGGCCGCCGCCAGCCCTGAGGCCGGGGCAGCCGCGTGCGCGGAGGTTGGGATTGGGGGCAAAATCCGCACACGCCGGGGGAAAGCAGGTCGTGGTGTCGTCGCGCACGGGGCGCGCGCTCGGGCGCGGGGCGGGGCCACCGCGCGCCGGCGCCGCACGGGCGAAGCCCGCGCGTACGGAATGCAGCAGATTGCAGCGTTCACAGGCTCTAAAAAATCCTCACCGCGGGAAACGCAATCGCAGACCCCTGACAAAGGGGGTGGGGGCGCATTCTTGGGCCCGGCGGCCAGACGGCGGCCGCGCCGCCGGCCGTGGCGAGGCGCGCCCGCGCGGGGATTGGCAACGGCGGCCGGCGGCGGGCGCCCAGCGGCCGCGCCCGCAAGGCTCTAATGGTCAGGGGTGCAGGACTCAAGGCATGGAAGTGGCCACGGCGTTTTGCATGCGCCGCCGAGCGCGCGCTGGCGCCGGCGCCGGCGCCGGCACAGGCGCCGGCGCGCCGCACGTCACACTCGCCGCAGCCCCTACCGGCGGGGAGGCACGCCGGCCTCAGCAGTCCTCGGGGGCGGGGCCGGCCGGCGCCGCACGGGATGTGGAGGGGTCAGAGGCCCCAGGGCCCACCACGGCTGGCGGCGGCAGAGGGGCGCCTGGTTGGGGCTGTGGGCGCCCCTCTGCAAACTCGTGAGAGCCGTCATCGGCAGCTGCAGGCTGCGCCCTGCGAAGCCGCTGGCCGCCGCCGCCGCCGCCGCGGGGCTGGCCGCCGCCCACGCGGCCGCGGGGCCGCGAAATCACGCCCGCGGCGCCCCCTTGGCGCGGCGCCCCGTAGAGGCGCGCGCCGGGGCCCAGCCGGGTGGGGCTGCGGGGCGCGGCTCCCCCCGCGTATGGCAGGCCGCGACCAGGCACTTGTGTGTGGACGGGCTGGCCAGGTGCAGGCAGTGAGGGCTGCTGCTGCGGCGCGCGCTGCTGCTGCTGCTGCTGCTGCTGCTGCTGCTGCTGCTGCTGCTGCGAGGTCTGCTGCTGCAGCTGCGGCTGCTGCTGCTGCTGGGAAGGGTAATAGTAAGGAATGTATGGCGGCTGCTGCCAACCTGGCCACGCCTGCTGCTGCTGCTGGTGCTGAAGTGGCTGCTGCACAAAACCCTGCTGCCACGTCAACGCCCCGCGCCGCGGCCGCACCTGCTGCGGCTGCTGCGCCGCCGCGCCCTGCGCGTGCTGCTGCCGTCCCTGCGGGGGGGGGGCCGCCGGCGGCGCCGCCCCCGCTGCTAGAACCCGGGTCCGCGGCGGCGCCGGCGCCTGTGCCTGCGCCTTGCCCGTGGAACCCGAGCCGCCCCATCTGCTGGAAGAGCCCCTCCTCTCCCAGCTGCCCAGCCCCCTCCCGCTCCCTGCTGTAACGATCCCGCCCGCCCGCCTGCTGCTGCTGCTGCTGCCGCCGCTGCTGCTGCTGCTGCTGCTGGCTGGGG